AAGCTTTTTATTCAACACAGTTATGTTTTATTTTATGCATTTGCTATTTGTCAAATAAGAACACGTAGTGATATAATAAAAAAGTGAGCGAAACGTGGATATTCACGTGCAGTAGTGGACATTTATAATTTACCAGCTTGTCGCACGGGTAACACGAAACGAACAACGAGATTGGAAAGCGGTCAGATACGCGCATTTCGCGTACGTTGCGACTCCCGCTACCAACAGTACAAATAATGATATCAAATTCGATGACGAGGAACCCACGTTGAGACTAATAATGGCTGGAGACCTGATGATGACAAAACCTTGTCGAAACGTTGTACATTTGCTGTTATATTAAAGTTTTTCTTCATTACCCATTCAAGCCGTCTCCAGCCATTATTAATAATGATATCGTGTCTTGCTGCCAACTACCGTCTGATTGTGTGTTACTGCCCGTGGGGTGGGGAGTTCCAAAGGTGCATGGCAAGTTTGTTTGAGATCGGTCTACAGACGAACAAACAATAAGACGACATATATATATGCTTGATATACATTCTTTCGTTAGTGTCGTTAATAATAATGACCAAACGAGTTAATATGTGTTAATTACTATGTTAATATTTAGCCTAAATATTAATACTTTTAACAATGATACAAGACAAACTTAAAAGTAATTTAAACTATTCTCATTAAGAAGTTAGGTTTTTACACATGTTACCTGTAGTACTTGGTACTTTACAAACAAACGATCGCTGGTTACAGCACGTTATTCTGAAGGGCCGAAAATCGGCACTTACACATGTAGGCCTAATCTTCATTCAGGTTGTTATATTACATAAACAGTATTACGTATATAATGTTATATTAAGGAGATAAGCCGATTATATTATGAGGTATATTTGTCACCGTTCCAGATCTATATTATTGTTAACCGTAATTAAAGCTTTCAAATCTTTTGTAAAATAATGTCAGAATTCTCATAATAATAATAATATCATTAGTATTATAGAAACAGGATGATAAAGATGAATAACAATAATAATAATAAGAAAGAAAAGTGTATTACTAGTGGCGGAAATTTGTCGGGATATCGGTCTGTCCCCCTACCGGGCTAGAACCTTAATTAACAATAAAACCGGAAATAAAAGTGCGTCGTTTGGTAGTTCAGGCCAATAAACTGATGTATTCCAGGCACGAAGTACGAGAAACTGTTTACAACTACACATAAAGATATGGAGATTTTTTTTAATGCTATCTTCCTCTGAGTCCATTTAGCGTACTCGCACTGTGAATCTGGGGGTTCGGAGCGCAAAAACACGCTCCGCAGTTTGCGGCCTTGTGTGTGCTATATAAGTAACAGTGAAATATCACTAATCGACCAGACACAAATTCGGTGGATTCAGATCTCTAAAATTGAAGTATTACAGCAACAACGAACAGTCTGTTTAGAAGGTTTCACAGTGGAGACCGATACAAATCTCTAAGATTGAAGTAAATGAAGTATTACAGCAACAACCAACAGTCTGTTTAGAAGGTTTCACAGTGGAGACCGAGTAATTTTACAGGCATAACCCATGTTACGTTAATTTGTTACCTGAAGTTATTAGTCTGTCTCCAGTAGTTTTACAGACATAACCCATGTTACGTTACTATGTTACCTGAGATTATTAGTCTGTCTCCAGTAGTTTTACAGACATAACCCATGTTACGTTAATTTGTTACCTGAGGTTATTAGTATGTCTCCATTAGTTTTACAGACATAACCCATGTTATATTACTTAAACTTGTTGGTTAGAAATGTTTAACATTTTGTAAACCCAACCAAGAGGGGAGTCGTTTACTATCTTTATTTGCTTCTATCGTTTTCTCCACATCTAATATGAAAAACCGAAGTTTATAGTTGTTCTGTAATTTAAGTTTTATTAAAGTGTAACACCAGTAGAGGGCGACATTTTCTTTGATGCTCTAAACTGGGACGGAAAAGGCCCCGAGAAATTTCCTTTACAGGAAATGATTCTGGCATCCCTGTAATAACATTACCTCTCATTTTGTCTAATGATAATATTTTTATTGAATAAGATCTATTTTTTAAAGTGAATATGTTTGTATATATATATATATAATAAAATTCAATTTTTATATTAAAAATGCCTTTCCTACCTTTCACAGGTAAAATTTTTAATTCTCTAATGAATTATATGTGATATTTAAAAAGTGTTGTCTTAAAATGTTGAAATTTTATTTACGATTTTTTTTATTTTCTTTTTTTGGCATTATATACCTCAAAGTTTAATCTGTTGTTTCTCGGGTATGTATAATACTATCTTGAAAAACTAAGCAGCTCATTTGTACTATTTTAATAAAAGGTCGAGAATGGGGAATTGATAACGCGGCCCTGTAAGAGGCACGTCATGACGTTCAGTCTATAGTTTCGGCTAAGCCTTTCAAATGAAAGATGTATTTTCGTGTAGAGAGCTATACAAATATAATAATACAATACACACATTTCAATTTCTTCCAAATCATTTTGTTATTTTTGATCTACAAAGGGGGGATGAAAAATAAATCATCAACAAACCGTGAGATTGATACCAGCGATTTCAAGGAACGTACAACAGATAAACATAATCCTATCACAAAAACTAATTTACTGAAAAATTCCACCATGTCTTCTCAACTACCGACTCCTTTTTATATCTTTCACCTGCAGATGGCGTCCTCATATTAAATATGTTTTTGGCATGCTATAATATTGAATATAAATAATTACCATGACCAAGATATTTGATAAAACCATTTATTTTCTATGTACAATACATGGGAGACTCCAGCACTAATTAGTAGAGTTAATTAATGTATTGATGGTAATTTTAATCAGTTGTTTTATGTGTTTCAGAATATTCGCGCAATACCACACGAGGGTTTGTTTGTTTATTGAATTTCGCGCAAAGCTACACGAGGGCTATCTGAGCTGGCCGTCCCTAATTTAGCAGTGTAAGACTAGAGGGAAGGCAGCTAGTCATCACCACCCAACTCTTGGGC